TCAAATCTGGAGGAGTTGTGTTAACTTTCGAGTATGAATACGCAATTAACTTACGTTCATCATCCAGGTGACCTGTGTCGATCGACAGTGCTGAGACTTCACTCCCGCTACTCGGGGAGAAGGCCGTCGTTTCAAGGCTGTCAGACAAGCCCTCTACGCCGACCCTGAGTGCATATGCTGAATCGAGCTGCGTGACATTGTTGGAGTGAGCCAGGGTGAGATCGATGGGGACCGTAGATGAGTTTCCCGGGTGCACTTGGTGATGGGCAGCCTCAGTAAGTTCATTCTGTCGGTAGGTGAGCAATCTGAGCATTTCACTAGTGAAATGCTTACAAGAGTGGTTTCATATGCATTCGGCACGAAGCTAGTGCCACTGGCATCAGCAGTAGTGAGCGGGGTATACGAGTCGAGCCACAGTTCGTCCTTCCAACCCGGGCCCATCGACGACATTGAGTAAGGTGGTTCTTCCAAGGGCTCGTCCGATGAGATGCACCTCAGATCAGACGGAGTATACATAAGGGACTAATGGATGTAGACTGATAGCGTTCTAACAACGACAGATGGGACACCGTGTGGTTCGAAGGATTGTGGCAGCAGAGGGCTACTGCGTCTTATACCCCGCGTGGCTCGGCGTCTGCCGACAACAGCCGACAAGGGCTGGGCTCCGGCCATTGTGACGCTGGAGCATCGTCCCTTCTTCTGCAGCCTACTGACGATGTCGTTATCTCTGGCTAACTATCCGATCATGAGCGTGTGGACCAGCTGACAGCGGCGGAGACCCGATTGTAGTGTTTGCTGCGGCATCTTCAGGAAAGAATTCGTGGGTGATTAGCAAGACAAGCAGACATAATCCCGATCAATAGTCGAACTGCATTGTCCTGTTGATCCAGCAGTTATCGTGTGAAGTTCCCTGGAAATCTTGCCTGTATCGGGGACTTGTCCGGCTGAATATTGCCGTGGCTTGCTGCCAGCCATTAACAAGATAAGAGATTGGTACCCCTTTCTTTTCCCTTTTACTAAGGTGACTTAAGCTACAGAGTACAAAACAATATTACAACCTCTGGCCACATGTAGGTGCCATTTCTCGAAGTTTCGAGCCACAATGTAAATAGAGGCATCTATTAGCAGGCCATCGATGCGTTTCACGGCGCCTGCATCGTACATATGGGAAGATGTAACAAATTAATTCGTTGCGTGATCTCCAAGCTAAAAATTGCAAAAGTTGCACGTTGAACATTGAACCAAACTTTGTGGCTTGTCGCCACGTGGACAGTCGCTAAGTTCGTCATTTCCAAATTGGGTCTGCTGTGCGTAGAAGCATAACGTATGTTCATGCAATACATCGGACACATCCCCATACTCTCCACAAGTTAACGCCAGCACTGTTGAGAGGTGGGTGCTAGGGATCTACTCATAATTAAGTTGGATTTTGCTCAGTGTAATCAGACAGCGACGATGCAGACAGCCTGACTATTATCTCGCTCATTCCAGGGATCCTAAGCTGCGTGTTGCAATGTCAACTTCAGCCACATATTGCCGATTGACATGCCCATTACGAGTTCTCTTTTTCCTCTGTTTTTCTTCTGACTTTATGATTCGAATGTTGAAGTGATAATTTGGCCGCGCCCATGATACAACACGAAAAAAGATAAGCAAGACCTGCCATACCCGAATCCAACATTTACGTATGCTGCACGGGAGGAAGAGAAGAAAGAGGCATCGAATAGAAATCTACTTATACGACGGTCCTGCGACGCTCGGACCTAGGCTGGGCCTGGAGAGTACTTCAAAGCTCGGTTCCAGTTCCCGGCCCGTACAGGCCGCCCTCCTCGCGGTCACGTGGCAATCGCGTCCACAGGCGCTTTACCAATTCTGGTGTCGACGACGTTCAACTCGACGGCGGCGGCGGCTGGGAACGAAAACATCGAACCAGGACTTTCGAAAATACAAACATTTGCTGCTATTTCTCCTATCCTAGTTATCGAAGTGACGCAGTACTCGCCTTGACTTGGAACACTCTGCCGCCCCCAAAATGTTGAGTCAGCGTCCGCTCGCGTTCACGGGCGAGAACCACGCACACCCTACGCACCTCAAGACACCAGGCCGAGCGCTGCTCAAAGAAAATGTCATACGCGGCCCAATGACCGCCAACGCGAAGGGCAAGACCGCGCAGACACCCTTCCATGCCACACTCCGTGCGTCTTACTGTGTACTCTGTCACGGCCTCGCTACCAATCATGCTAACGCCGGCCCCTTGCAGAGCCAAAAACGGCCGCAAAGGCGGGGACGAAGCTCGCGACCGTCTCGCGCCCGCTGCTCGACAAGACGCCATTCCCGAACCGCGTCCAGCCCGCGTTGAAGACGCCGTGCCCGCAGAAGGCGGACCACGCGCCGCCCGCGAAGCTCGGTGTGCTCGCCTTCGCAGACCCCGCGCCCGCGCAGACGCTCGGCACGCCCGGGACGGCGCTGCGCCCGAGCTCGACGCGCAAGAGCCTGCGCGCGCCGCGCAGCGCGGGGAAGCTCGCGCTGGACTTCAAGACGCCCGTGACGCGGGGGAACCACTGGGACGTGAGTGACGGGGACGTGAGCGTGGGGGGTGCGGAGGTGGGCGCGGAGGAGCGGGGGGCGGTGCTCGAGGAGGACTATGATGAGATCGAGCACATGCCGCCGACGGCGATTGGTGAGTGTCTTGTGGGGCTCGGCGGCGGTGGGGCTGACAGTGTGACAGAGCGGCCGTACGAGCCCTATTTTGATATGCCGGATTATAAGGTCGCGGGTGCGGGCCTCCTCAGACTCGCGCGGTCGCACCACTTCGACGACACAGCGGACGTGTATTTCGGGAACGACGTCGATCTGCAGGAGCTCGATACGGACGCGCTCCTGCGAGAGAGCGGATTCGCGGGCGGGACCGCTTGGGAGCGGTTAGAGCTGCCGGAGCTCGGTTCGTACCCTTACATAGACAAATTCCGCTAACTGACACGCCGCTCAGAGGACGACAGCCCCTTCGCACGCGTCTCTGCTCCTTCTGAGCAGTCAGTGGCTCCTCCGCGGTCTACTGCCCCCCTCCGAACTCAGCCAGCCCGCTCCACACGCGCGCTTGCCCCCGCCCTGCCCACCTCGTCAAGACCCCTCACACGTGCCTCCTCCCGCATCGCTTCCACGTCTGCAGCTGTCGCGTCGCGCCCTGGCACCGCAACGTCTACGATGGCATCCACCTCCATCACGGCGACGACGACGCGCAGACCAGCGACACGGAGCACGACCGCCGCGGCCCGCCCCGCGACTGCGACTGTCGAGGCGCGTCCGGTGACGCGGGGTGCTGTAGCCGCGACTCGCTCCGTAATGCGGAATGCGGCGACCGAGGCGCGGCCTGTGGCACGGGGCACGACTGGGTCTACGCGTGCTGTGACGAGGCAGAGCACGCGTGCGCCAGAGGCTGTTCCGCCGCGCAGGCCGGTGACGGGGGCGAGGGGTGTGAAGGAGCCTGTGTCTGTACGTGCAAATGAGCGTGAGGATCTGGTACTTGTCTTCGAGAACGGTCCGGAGCTGGACGAGGATTTCGTATTCGAAGTTTGATGATTTGTACTTGTCTGTGGGTTTTCGTCGTGTTGTTCTCTTGCTGTCTATTCTCGTACTGCAAGCTTATCTCGTTGTGTACATGATTGAATCGATGTATTGGAGTGTACGAGTGATATCAGGAGTCGCTCTGCACGTTTGCACTTACGTCGCAAGACTCGCCCAGCCATCCAGGCATAATTTACAATTCACTCTGAGCATGTCGAAAAACACCAATTCACGAATCATCCACCACACCAGGAAGCCTATTTATACATAAAGCTCATTCTTCCGTCGCCATACCCCTCATCGATGTCATTCCTCGTGCTCAGTCATCGTCGTCCGCGGTAAGCTTGATCTTCGGGGGCACTACCTCAATCCAGTACCTATCGTGCTGTCAGCACCGCACACGACGTCGTTCTCGCGCCGACCCTACTCACCCATCGGGATCAAGGAGGAACGCGATATGTTTCATGGTGCCATCCTGGAGGCGCTTCTTGAAGGGAACGCCGAGGCGCTCGAAACGTTCGCATGCGGCGGCGACGTCGGGGACGGTGATGGCGATGTGGCCAAAGCCCTTTCCCGGCTCGGTGTTACCTGACGCGTACCCCTGGAAGTCCGGGTCGTTCTCCGTGCCGTGGTTGTGCGTGAGCTCGAGGACGCCTGCGGCGGGCGCGGATAGCATTCATATCGGCGAGAGGGAAATGGGAGAGCGTTAAGGAGACGGACCTTCGCGGTTGAAACGCGAGTTCTTCTTCTCGCGCGCGGTGAGGGCCCCGCCGGAGTGGTCGTACGCGAAGAAGTAGAGCGTGAACGACTCGAACTTGGCCTCTGCGCAATGATCGCCGCCGACGTCAGCGGGCGTGCGCAGCGCCTATCGGGGAGACGCACCCGATATGAAGTCCATGCCGAGCACCTGCGATTGACAGAATGTGTCAAGGTCGAGCCGGATCGGCGGAAGGCTGCGGGCGGGTTACGTACCTCGGTGTAGAACTGGATGGACCGCTTCGGGTCCTTGATGCGCATCATCGTGTGGTTGAACTGCGGCAGGGCATGGCTAGCTCAGCCGGCGTCCTCGCAGGGAACAGCGGCCGCGGGGCGCACCTGGTAGCCGACGGTCTCTGGAGGGCGGGGCATGGCGGGCAGGATAGAAGGCGCGAGCGTGCAAGCAAAGGCAAGTGCAGGGAAACAAAAAGCTGAGCAAGCAACTGGCCTCTAGCGAGCCGGAACGAGTATTTATGTCCGCGCGAGCTTATGACGCAACCATGAGATTCCGCAATCGCCGATAGCATCGAAAACAAAAGTTCAACCCGCAAATCGCACTCCAGCATTGCTTATGTCTGTCATAATTTTTCTGAAAAGTGTATTGAATAAAATTGGAGAAATGCTCACAACCGTATGTTACCCGCAGCAAACGCGATAAAGAAACACCACTACTGCAAAAACGACACCAGTGAGATTTGAACTCACGCTCCCATAGGGAAACAGATTGTGACAGAGCATCCACTCATTCGAATCTGTCGCCTTAACCACTCGGCCATAGTGCCTAATATCTCGCATTAGTATTATAGTATATAATATGTATCTAAGGTTTGTATTCTCATGCCACCAAACTGGGCTCTTGGATCTGTTCCGACTCTCCACACACAATACCAAGTACTGTTCTCCATCATGCCACCACAAAAACGCGCACCATGCCAGGTCTGCCGCGAGAAAGAGTCCAAGTATACGTGCGCGAAATGCATGGTGTTATAGTAGTCTTCCCCCTCCAGCTCTCCGGACCAGGCCCTACTCACCTGCGGTGATCCCCCAGCTGCTCCATAGATTGCTTCAAGGCACATAAGGGTGAGTAGCCGCCACACGCAGAGACGATCGACATGCTGAGGATAGGCTAGAATCCTTGTGTCAGCCGAATGCTCCAGCAAGGACAGACCACCCACCACCACCGGGCCCTCTGCTAGAAGCCGGCGCCGCAGACGGCAAGCACGCCCTTCATCTGCGGTACATCTGCACGACAAAGCTCAACGTCTCACAGATCCTACACGAGAAAACACCGCCGCACCACCGCTTCCTGAGGACACCCGGTCGATAACGCCCCCACCTGTTCTACGCCCGCTCACCTCGCTCAACTGGCCATACGCCCCCGAAGAGTCCGCCTTCCCCGACCCGCTCAAGCGGGACGACCCCAAGCCGCTCCAACTGCACCAGTACGAGGCCGTCGGTGCGTCTTCCCCTTCGTCCCGTCTCAGACCCAACTCAGCCCCGAATGTCTATGTACACGCACAGCCACGTCTCCCGCGGTCCGCCGCATCCTCGCCGCACACCCGCGCCTCAAAGACATCCTACGGCGCATCGATGCGCGGCGCGGACCCGAGCGCGAAGACGCGCTCCAGCGCGCGCTCGGCATCACGCACGTCCCCGCAGCTCTGCACGCGCCGCAGCTCGACCGAGGTCTGCTAGAGCTCGGCGCGCAGTCGGAGGAGGACACACGCGCGCTGCGCGAGCTTGCCGAGGCGGTCGAGGGCGCAGTGCGCGGCGGGAAGGAAGGGGCGCTTGGTCTAGACTGGGGCGACTAGCCGGGGTCCATGGGTGCGGATGGGCGAGGGCGCAGAGCGACGAAGTAGCAGACGTGTTACAGATGTACGATGATACAGCAGAGCATACAGATTCAGCGAGGAGCATGCGGTACGGGCTATAAGCTACGGGAGTCTATGATGGAACGAAGGTAGGTGCGCAGTGTGCAATGCAAAGGGCACCGTGTGTGGCGCGTCATGACATCATGACATCTCCTCGTCCGAGTCGGAGATGTACTCTTTGCTTTTGCTAAACGTAGGACATACGTGAGCGACCGGGCGGAAAAGATGGGAGAAAGACGCACATCTGCTTCTTCCGCGGCGGCGCGCTCACCTCCCCCTCCTCCTCATCATCCGCCACCGCGCGCTTCTTCGCCCGCTGAACGGCCAAACACACGCCCATCAGCGCCCCACACATACCCACAACACAAACCAACGCACCTTCTTCGCCGGCTTCCCTTCCGCTTCCTCATTATCGCTAAATAGCGCATCGTCCTCCTCGTCGTTCCGCTCTTCCGCGCCGCGCTTCAGCTTGCCCCTGCGCTTCTTCTTCGGCTCGCGCTCCCGGTCGCGGTCGCCCTCGTCCGCGGAGCCGTCGCCGCCGCGCGGCTTGCGGGTCTGCGCCTTGCGCGAGCGGCGCTCGCGCTCCTCGTCGCTCTCCACGCGCATGTCGCGCGTCCACTCGAGCGCCTGCTCGCGCGCGCGCCGCCGCTCCTCCGCGAGCTTCTCCGCCTGCACCCGCAGCTGCTCCTGCCGCTCGCGCTGCAACGCATCAGTCAACATCCCCATGTCACGACAACGCAAGACGCAAAGGGGCAAAAGGGGGGGAGGCGAAAAGAAAGACAACGCACTTCGGCGGCCTCCTGCCGCTCCTTCTCCTCCTGCCGCCGCTGGCGCGCGGTCTCGAGCTTCGCCTGTGCCTCGGCCTCCCACTGACGCTGCGCCGCGAGGTGCTCGTCACACCGCCGCAGCATGCTGTCGCCGTACTTCCGCCGCTGGTCTGCGATCTCGCGGCTGTATGGAGTCATCGGCGACTCGTCTGCCGCGAGCGACGCAAACAGCCTGATGCATCAGTCAGCGTCAAGTTGACATGGAATGGAGAAAAAGGAAAAGGAGGGAAGGGAACGCACTTCTGTGCATGGCCAGCTTGCTCGATTGCGCGCTCCAAGTCCTTGAGCGAGCGTTTGGCGGGAGGCACGGAGAGGAGCATCTCTGCGGCTTTCTGCTGGATCATGGCGATGTTATACAGGATCGCCTTGTCCCATGGATGCAGGTGGTAAGCCTATGGACGGTGGTCAGAGAAAGAGATTCTGCCTAAGCTGGAGATACTTGCACGTTGCGCGTATTGTAATGAAGTCGTCATTGCGCTGAACGACTGGTCCTTGTTCGCTTTCGCGTACCATGATCGGCAGAGGTAGAGTAGAACCGGGACATCCTGGTTGTTATAGAACCGCCTCGAGGCTGTCTCATACTGCACATAACGTGGTGAGCATTGCGCAAATCTCACGATCACAACGACTCACACTCTCGATCGCCCGATCAAACTCATCGCGCCCATAGTAGCAATGACCCATATTGGCATACACACTGCCATCATTGATCGACTCCCTGACCTTCGCAAAGATGTCCAGCGCATCCCGCGCATCCTTGATGCGCTTCTGCGCCTCATCCGGGCCTATCGGTCCCAGGCTGCCACCCAGATTACCCAGCGCATCCTCTGCAGTGACGATCGCGAGGCCTTGCGCGGCGACGGCGCACATCGGGTCAAGATGCAGCGCCTTCTCGTAGAACTCGGCAGAGCGCTGGAAGCCGCGCTTGCGCTCCTGCACGCCCGTCGGGCTGCTGTCACGGCTCTCGCGCGCCTGGTGGTATTGGATCCAGCCCGCTGCGCAGAGCGCGTAGATGTCATGCTTGTCATGGTCCTTGAGTGTGGAGAACACAAAGTCCTTTGCGAGCTTGGGTGTGCCGGACTGGATGAGGAAGTGCGTATAGAAGGCGCGGATGTTCAGGTCGCTCTTTTGCGAGACCAGCGCTTGCTTGACGAGTTCGTGGGCCTCGTCCTTGCGGTTCTGGTCGGCGAGCATACGTGCCTGGCGCAACTTGGCTAGACATTCCGGTCAGCGTGCGTCCGGATGATCCTGGAGGGAATGTAACTCACCATCGACATACTCGGGGTGTCTGTTGAGGAGCTTCTCATATGCCTCCTTCGCCATAACGTCCTCTCCCTGATCCTCATATGCTCTCGCCAAGTTGTATAAGATGGACGTCGACATCCCTTCCGCCACAGTCGGGTCCAGTGTCGACGCGTGCGTAATCGCCTTCTCATATAACAACCTCGCCTGGGACGCATCGCCCTCCAAGTGTTTCAGAGCCGCAAGGTTGTTCACGATCCGCGGGTCAGCCTTCCCGCCCGCCTCGCTCAGGCGTGCGGCTTCTTGGTACGCACGCTCCATTCGGTCGCTGTTCTCGCCGCGCCACAGCTTCGCGATCTCGATGTGTAGGTCCACATCCTGCGCGACCTTACGCTGCGAGCGCGTAAGCGGTACGCTCGTCCCGTTCGCAGCCTGCGCGTGGCTATCCTCGGGCAGATGCAACATCCGGCACACGCGGTCGAGCAGCTCGCGTGCGCGCTGCTTCTCCTGCGCCTGGTCCGCGCTCGATACGCCGGGCCGCGGGTACGCGCGCAGGGAGGCGAGCATAGCTGTCGCTTCGGCGGACCGCTCGCCGCCCGGCTGCTGCAACAGGGTGTCGAGGGTGTGTATCGCGGCCGGAATTTCATCTGTGAGCTATTGTGAGTGCCATCGGAAGGAGGCACGAACGCTGCACACTTACCATTCTTCAGCTGCATTTGCGCGATGCCGACGGACGCCACGACGTTGGGAGGGGGCCCTTCCTTGGCTTTCGTGTAGTACTTCATGGCATCTGCTGTTGAACCTTCTGCGTGAGCGATACGGGCTGCCCGGATGTAACCCTCGCTCAGCAGCATCTTCGTGTCGGCAAACTGAATTACACGTTCAGCCAGCTTCTCAGCCTGCGAGAATGGGTGTCAGTTATTGGCGGCAGATTGAACAGGCCGTAGAGCTCACCCGCTTGTACTGCCCCTTCTGGATTGTCAGCTCACACAGCACATTGGCGGCTGCTGCATTCGTCTGATTCGCCTTGAAAGCCCTCTCTACGAGCCGGGTCCCAAGGAGGAACTGGTTTAACCGCTCTTCCTCCGACTGATTCTCGTTCTTGCTGGAATTGAGTGCTTCGATACCAAGCAGCAGTTGAGATGGCCATTCCGAGGGGTTCTATAGGTGCATAGAAGTTGACAATGCTGATGAGGAAAACAGTTCATACTCAACATACCACTTCGAGACTTCTTTGCCATGCGGCCTTGGCCTTCTCCTTCTGGCCCATCGCCCATAAACATAGACCGATCCCAATGCGGGGGTCCGGAAGACATTGCGGATTTAGCTGTAGGACCCTCTGGAACAGCTTCAAGGCTTGAGGATATTGACGTGTCGCATACAGAATCTTCGCCTGATGAGCTGTTGTCAGTGATCGCTGAGGGATATAAAATGCGAGAACAGACCTTCCCGAGTAGCGCGACAAGGTTGGTTGGCTTCAGAGACAGGACCGCATCAAACGACCGGCGGGCTTCATCCATATCCCTTTTGTTTAGCTGCAAGATACCTGGAGTGTGTAGTGAGTAATCTGTGAGTTATGACCATATATATTAGCACCTCTGGTCAGCAATGACAGTATGTTCCCTGCGTCTCCGGCATCGGCGGCTTTGCGCTCTCCCAGATTGAAGAGAGAAGTAGCGTCGGTGTAATGGTCTTCCCTTGGCTTTTCCGTGTGCAGAATATCCTGGCCTGTAAGGTTTTAGGTTCACAAATGCCTACCCACATAGCCAAAGTACGACTAACGGGCACTCTGCAGAATCAACTTCGGTGCCTTGTACGCGCGCGCTATCTGGAGGTTTGCTA